ATGCACTATCATTTTCTGCTATAGACATGGGGGAATTTCTCTTGAAGGCTCTTATAGTGGGCATGAACTATCTTGCTTGCTCGATTGCTGGTTGTATTAAACGGGACAACAAAGGGTGCTATGCCTACATTATGATGAATATTTAGTCCTATAGGTCTTGCTGTATTCAATGTCTCAATCCAATGGGCCTCCCTAGATTGACGGAATTTGGTAGTTTCATCTTCGGGCAAGTCAATTTCTATACGCTCAATTGGGATTAGGGTGAGATCGTCTATTGAATGGTCGTCGAGGTTGAAATGATTCGAAACAGGCTTGTCTTTCTTTAATTTGATGTCTGACCTATGAGCATTAAAGCGAGTTCGTAAATTATTCTTAGTTTCTCCTACATATTGTTTGGGGCATTTCTTGCATGAAATTAAATATATTACATTCGAATGTTCACATGTTAGATGTTCCTGGATCGGGTACCTTTTATTCGTAGAGTTGCTTACAAAATAATGAGTTTCTGATATGAAGGGACATGTTTTGCATCTACTGGACAAACATGGAGCACTTCTTAAACTTGGAGGTACCTCGGCATAAAGTCTGTTTTTAGCTGCTATCTGTGCTAAGGTGGAATTTTTTATGTTTCGTAAAAATCGTTTAGAGTACCCACGCTCTTTCAGTTTTGAGAAAACAATCGTACAGGCTTGGTTGAAATCAGAAGATCTTGTACAAATTCGATGAAATCGTAAAACTTGTGACTTAATTATACCAGAAAAGGTATGTTTTGGGTGAAAGGAGCTCTTGTGCAAGAGTTGATGAGTATCAGTTTCTTTGAAATACACTTTAATATCCAGTTTATTTGTTCCTGCTATGGAATCTCCCTTAAAGACTGTGGTATCGAGAAAGTCTATGCTTTTGTCACTCACGTTTGCGGTTAGTTTGATAGAAGGATGGTGGTTGTTGAGAATTTCAAAGAATTCCCAAAACTGTTCGATAGAATAAGTCCAAACCATAAAAATGTCATCCAAAAAGCGTCCGTAAAAAAGTGGGTCAAATGGACAGAGGGGCAACACCTCACGTTCCCACTCTGCCATGAAAAGGTTTGCGTACGAAGGGGCGAATCGTTTGCCCATTGCTGTCCCTGAAGTTTGTAAATATGTTTTACCATTAAATGTGAAATCGTTTCGACTAAGACAAATCTCTAAAAGCTGTAGAATTGCATCGTCGGGTCTGTTTGGATCTGGGTTTCTATTAAAGCT